TAGGGTGTAGGGGAGCCCCATCAAGCAAAAAAACAAAATCCTCTAAACTCTAACACTCCCCAGAAGCCTTATCGAGCCCTTGTGGAACCGCTATACCCTGAAGCCCTAATTCTCCAGAACCACAACAGTTGGAAGCTTCCGAAAATCAGGGTACTCTAGTTTGGGGTCCTTATAGTAAGGATCCTACTGTTTAAGGTACTATATTTGGGTCCCCAGTTTCGGAAACCCCCGTTTGGAAACCTGAAAGCTCTCCTGGGCTCTAAACCCACAAGATGCTGGAGCCTAAAGGCAAGCTTCAACACCGTTGCCACCGCTATGGCTGGAGCAGCTGCGTGGCTGCACGGACTTCGACTCTTGATGGAGCAGAGGCCGGCCCTGTCGCGCTTCTGAGAAAACAACAGTAGGGGCCTTGGTGATGATAAGCCCAAGGCTCCATGTACCCGTATAGTATATACTTAGGCCTTAAAGCGGTTCCTATATAGGTACTTTAGGGTCTAAGTATATACTATATGGGTACATGGAGCCTTTGGGAAGAGTGTTTGCATAGCTTCTTGTAAACGAGGTTGGGGTTTCCAACATACGGTCCATGACAAGCAGAAAAAGTTGAGGGTTGAGTAGGGTTTGTTACAGGGGTTCTGCTGGTTGTTACGAGCTAGTGGGGCTTTTTACATAGTGTACGTAACTTTACAGGGACTACAAAAGGATACCGTAGCTAATCAGTCAGCGCTCTACGTCGAAGAGAAGCGGTCCTGCATGATGTAGTAGTAGCAAGAGCTGACAGGTTTTCGTGGTACCTTAAAGACTTTTGGTAGGATCCCCACACACTAAACGCTATAGGGCTTCGTACCAGGATTTTCGGCACCTCAGAAACGTTGTGGAAAACAAAAACCTTCCCGAAAACAATGAACAACGAATAAACCCATGAATCCAGTCAGTTTCCCATAGCTTGCAGGTCCTCTGCGCTGCGACGGGATCTGGTGGGCCTGGGCAGCTGCCTGAATGGATTTTCTCAGGTGGGAGATTCAGAAACCTGATTAACAGAAACAGACGCACTGCAGGATCCAGGATCCAAGTTACACAAGGACTCCCACTTACATTACAAGTCTTAGTAGTGTTGTTCTGATGAGTCAGTGTTCTTGTTGTGATGATTGGTTGCTATTCTGATAGCAACTAATAGCGACCCCGGAATAATTTGAGGCAACTTTTGGGTCTTCTTTCACGGATCAAAGATTCCGAGACTCAGGTTGTCTAAGGTTGAGGGCCTAGTGTTTGGGGTTTAGTAGAGTCAGAGTTTGACTTTAGGGTTTTGGGGTTTGGCCTAGGTTGTTTATTTCAGGGTTTAGGGTTTAGGGTAGTTTTGTACTTCAGAATTGGAGCCCCCCCCGCTCAGCCAGAACAGAACGGCCTGTCTCACGGTCCGTGTTACGCAGCCGCAGTACAGACAGAAGCTTGTTTCGAACTTTGGGCTTAGCAGGGCTCTACCTCCAGGTTCAGGGCTTGGGACTCGGGGGTTTAGGGTTTAGGGGTTTAGGGTTTAGGGTTTAATTGGTTAAGAGTACTGAGACCGATGAATAGCTACCCAGCCGCAGAGGAGCCCGAGGCTTGCTTTTATCCACTTTGGCCACCAACCTACAATACCAATACACATCGCACAGCTTTGCGCGGGTTTATAGAGAGGAATACATGTTGGTATATTAGTATGAAGGTCTCAGTACTCAGGTTGTGTTCCTTGACGGTCGGGAGCTGGTTCTAGACGCAGCAGCTGTGGCTGCACCGTTTTTGGGCGCAAGTGATTCCCAAAGGGTCCAAGTACTAGTATAGTATGTACTTTTGGGGCCCAAATAGCCACTAAGTAGCTACTATAATGGTACTTGGACCCTTTGGGATTCTTCAGGGCCAGCCCCAAACCAGAGCCTAAAGCTATGTAGGCGCCTGGGAGTCGGCCGTAGGAAGTAGGGCTTTAGGGGTGTTGTTGGCACGATGGGAAGATATGGGTTGAACGCCAAACAGTCCTGAAGAGCTTTTATATAAGATAACATACTATAACATAACATTCTTTTATACATTATACATGTAATTATATATATACACACACATACGCTTTTCATTTATCGCATCTCCCACTCGAAGCATCTCCGCGTCCCTTGCCGTTGCAGGCAGCTTTGTGGGAGATGGCTTCTTCGCTGTTTGCTGACCTGCACCGGCTGACCCTCCGCGCGGAGGCGAAAACCCTCAGCCCTATAACCCCAAACTTTAATCGGCGGAATCGCGGCTAAGTTTACGGTTTAAGGTTTAGGGAAGAAGTGTTTTCAACTAGACCCCAAACTTTATAATCCCAAACCCCAAGTCTTTCCAACATTGACGGAGCAGGTTCTGAACCACAATGCGCCTTGATTGCAGCTGGGCTCATGGGCTTTTCGGGTCTTTGGGCTTTAGGGTTCAGGCTTGAGGTTTTAGGGGGTTCAGGGTCTTTTGGGTTCTGGAGGGGAGGAGTTAGAATTTTGGCCTCTAGGGCTTTAGGGCTTCAGGCTGTTTGGTGAGGGAGTTTTCGGATCTTGAAAGCATCCTTCGTGGGGTTTTCCAGCGAGCAGGGATTTGGGAAGTGGTGGCCAGCAGCCATGATGGGTTTCTTAGGCGCTTAGAACCTTCAGGGTGCGTGAGCATGGTTGCTCATGAGGTGATGTCTAAAGGGTTCACTGCACAGACCGGAACAGAGGATGAGGATGTGAGGCGTATCCATGCAAAGAGTGGGGTCCCTCTGCTTGCTGAGTAGTCAACATTAGAAGCCTGCACCCTAAATCCTAAATCCTACACCCTAAGCGGGAGAAAAAGCTTCTGGAGGATGCCAAGGCTTCGAAGCATAAAGGATTGTCGTTGAGGTGACGTTTATCGTGCAGTGTGCATGGTCGTCGACGGTGAGTTCTCATGATCGTTTGGAGCTGTCTCACCCAACACCAAAGCAAGTGTGTGTGTGTGTGTGTGCTACGGCAGGTGGTACAAGAGTGCTATTCAGCACACTTAAAAGCTAGGTTTGTAATGTTCGTGGAGGCACCAAAGCACCCTAAACCCTGAACCCAAAGTCAAGCCCAACTCCGTTTGACCCCCCAACCGAGCTGCGAATCCTAAAGCCTCAAACCTGGATTGAATGACACAGCAGCAGCCTGATTAAGAAGCTTTGGGTCTTTATTACTTGTAGGGCTTTTCCTTTTGTATTCTTACATCTTGGAGTTCCAGAGGTTCTGAGTCAGTCAGATTCCTACATAGGTCGTTTCTCAAAAAAAAATGTGTGAACGTTAGGGTTAAGGGTCTAGGGTTTAGGGTTTGGGGGTGTAGGCCACCGGCCCCCGGGAACATTGAGACTGCAGGTGCTTCTCTCGTCCTTGCGCACGAGTGGTCTCTGGCAGTAGCTTGCCTGCGGAGGAGCGGTTGACGGTTGCGGTACGATGTGTATGCATGTGTGTATATATATATATACACAGCCATGCTAGACCCCAAAGCAGGTACTTTTTGTCTACTTGGAGGCCCGGGCCATGGAATATGGGCTTAGCGCTCGTAATCGATGACTGCTGCCATGATTCAGACTACTACTGTTCCCGGTGCTGCTCCTCGTTCCTGGAAGGTCGAAGACATACACTATGACTTGGGGTAAGGGTCTGATGATGACACACTGCTAGGGTGGTGTTGGGTATTTCGGTTTGACTCAGATTTCGGCTAAGGGGCTTAATTAGGATCGAGGGTTTTGGGTTTGATTATTAGGTGCTGGGGTTCAACACAGGGTTCATGGAGGGTTCGGATGTAGAGGAGCAGGATTCCTGCGACGCAGACGCTTGTGCGAGTACTATATATGATTTCTGCAACCCTTACACCCCAACACTTTGGGGGTTGCATGTTCATGAGTAACATAGGGGCCTTAAGAATTGCCCATACTAGTTTGGGGGTTCCGTATTATAATTATAGGATCACACACCCCAAAACCCTATTCTCATTATTAAGGCCCCTACATTAGTTTCGTCTTCTTGGGGGAGGGGGGGGGGGGACCCACGGCTCGCCCGGTAAGCGGCGATTCCCAAAGCCTCCAAACCCAAAGCAAGCCCCATCAATTGGAGGTTCATGGTTTAGGGTTTAGTATTGAGGGTTTAGGGTTTAGGGAGGTTCATGGCTAGCTGGAAGTAGGGTTATAAGCAGGATAGCTATGATTATGACCCGTACGAATTAACGGACTCATCACCATTATGAAGCTAACTGCCCATGAACCTCCAAGCACTTCTTAGTTGACGGCCACCATGGAGACCAAAAACAAACCACCTGTTCTGGGTTCCCCGTTATGATTTCCTTGCACCCTTCGGCTACAGGTATACCTTAAATCCTAACCCCTAAGCCCGGAAACCCTATAAACCCTGAACCCAGGAGGTCGTTCCGGATGTTGGCGATGCAGGTTTTTTCGCCGGATGCAGTCACCTTAGGACACTCGGAGGGAACTGGTTGCTTTAAAGGGCGCCTTCAAGGATTCTATACCGGGGTCCCCATGGTGCTATAGGGGTCTATACCTTTAAAGGGTACTGTAGGGTTCTACAAGAGGGTTCCCTTCAAGGGGTTTGGGGTTTAAGGTGCAGGGTTTTCAGGTGTAAACGTTTCGGCAGTTTCGGATTAAGGGCTTAAAGGAAAAGGATCTGTGAGTTCCGCTAAAGGGAACTACAGGTATAAAGGTTCGTATGCGGGATCTATGAGGGTTGTATAAGGTTTAGCTTCAAGGTGTATGGTTTAGGGCTTAGGGTATTCAAGGAGCGAGAATCATCACTAGGTCGCTTCCTTAAAATACGAGATATCCCAGAACCTTGTTTTAATTTTGCGTTAGTCGGGGTTTGAGACGGATTCGGACAAGAATGGAATGCTCTGGGGGGGGAGCAAAACGCCTCTGCGCATGAAGATGGAAGAAGATGAGGGGCAAGTACATCGTTCATACCTAACCGTGTTAATTGTGACGCATCCCTACTTCAAACGTGTTGGGAGCACATCAACTACGAGCCATGAAAACTGCTGCTGTTTCGACATGCCCTGAAATTCCCCACAAAGACACAATGTACTCAAAGCACCAGGAGCAACACTTTGAACCTTTCAGTTTCTATCATAAACCCTCGAACCACGAGGAATAGCCGACTCTAATACCCTATAGAGCCCAAGGTCGAAATAGGAGCCGACACAGTGAGTTCGAAACGCCCTAACCTGCCTCTTGCCTTGCATCCCCTTTACGGGTTTAGGGTTTAGGATTGCAGCTTCGTGGTCGAGCAGAGTATAAGGTTAGTCACAGGAGCCCCCCCCCCCCTCCCCCCTAAACCCCAAACCCTAAGCCCAATGGTCTTCGACCTCTTCAGATTCCCTTGGCCCGAATTCCAAAGCCTGAACCTCGGCGTGAAGGTTTGGTGTCGAAGCCCTTACTCTTGCAGCCATCTTGCCGAAGGCCATGCACCCAAAACTCTCCTCCCATACCTCAAGAGCCAAGTCCGTCGCTGGATTCAGGGCTTTTGGGGCTTTTGGGACTCTACGCCTCAGAGTTTCTTTCGGCTTCAAGGTGAAACTATAGATTCTTACGCCCCCTCAGATCTCCAAACCTAAGCCCTCAACCTTAAACCCCAAAACCCCAAACCCCAAACCCTAAACCCCAAGCCCTAAGCCCCAAACCCCAAACCCCAAACCCCCAAAACCTAAACCCCAAACCCTCTCCAAGGCGCCTTGCTCTCTGTGTACCTGGTGGCCTCAACATGGCAGCAGGCTCCTGACCGCAACGCATTTCGGACTGCTGAGGTTCATGCGTTTGAGGGTTTCTGGGAGTCAAGCAATCCCTAACCTCCCCAGGTACCTACTATATAGGGTTCGTAGGTACCTGGGAGGTTAGGGAAAGGTGGAGCTACCACTGTTTCGCGTCTGATCTACAATACATAAGTTAGGGTTTAGGGTTTAGGGATATGATTGAATACACCCTCGCATGCTATACTACACACTGTCGAAACCTGACATGCCATATTCGGGTATACCTAGAGTCTCCATTGTGGTTCCTCTTTGGGGGTTACCTTGTAGGATCCTATTTATAAAACTGGTTAAACCAAACAAAGGAACTACGGTGGAGACTACCCAGACCACCGGAAGGATCTAAAAAATAGATCCCCTAATTTGGGACCCTATACTACTAAGGGGTACATTTACAGGAACTCCCTTAAGGGATTTTTCAGATCCTTCCGGTGGTCTGGGTACAGGTATTGCTTCGACCTTCCCGGAACCGCCCGCGCTGAAACTAAGATTGGGGGCTCAGAGGGGCTCGGGGTCTTCCTGAGTTTTAGGGCTTAGGGTTTTGGGGTTTTGGGGTTTGGGGTTTTGGGGTTTTAGGGTTTGGGGTTTTTGGTTTAGGGTTTTGGGGTTTAGGGTCTGGCGTTTAGGGTTTGGGGTTTCTATAGGGTGTAGGGTTTGGGTCTGGAGATCTGTTTAGGGTGTTGGGTCTGAGATTTGAATGATGCCCCCAAAGGGCCACAAGTACCTGTACAGTAGACTGTAGGCTGTGGGGTGTCAAGACTAGGAATCACTACTGCGATTTGGGGAAGGATCACCCATTTGCGTGTTTAAAAACATCCCCTTTTTGTAGTCTTCATTCTCACCAGGCCGTAGCATTGTCAGCTCCCTAAAACCTTCCGAAACCCTTCAAGAACCCTTGTCTCAAGCTTGTGCAAACTACGCCGAAGCCCCCAAAACCCCTACCCCGGGGCTCCAAGTATACAAATAGTACCTACTTTGGTGTCTAAAGTCTGTAAATAGTACCTACTTTGGGCTATTTGGAGCCCCAGGGCTACAACGGAAGGGTCTAAAAAATAGATCCCTTAAGGGAGTTCCTTTAAAGTACCCTAAACCCTAAACCCTAAACCCTAACCCTTAGTACCAGTAGTATAGGGTCCCAAATTAGGGGATCGAAAGTCCATTGGGACTCTGCAGGCACTCTACAGGTCCCAAGTAAGCCTCAACCTCAGAGGCCGAGCCAGGGTGGAGGCTTTAGAGTTTAGCCTTTAGAGCTTAGGGTTTTAGATCTTATAAGGGGGTTAGAGTTGAGGGTTTAGAGCTTAGGGTTTAGAGCTTAGGGTTTAGAGTTTAGGGTTTGGGGTTCCAGCCCATCAACACGGAAGCAGGCGGCAAAGTCGCTGGAAACTGCTGCTTGCTGTGGAGTTCGTCCGGACAAAGGATGCCTCGAGGCAGGCTTTCGAGTTGAGTGTCTAGGGCCTTTGTGATGTTCATCAAATTTAGGGGTTCTCACAAGATGCCAGACACCCCAAAACCCAAAAGCATGGACATAAGGTTGGGAGATGAAGGGTTCAAGGGTGTAGATGTGCTTTGGGCCGAGGGTTATTTAAGGGCCCTTTCAACGGGATCTGGGTTTAGGGCCTAGGGTCCTCGTCACAAGAAGCTCCTACGACTTTGGCAATATGCTAGCCCCAAGCCATGCAACTTAAACCGCAGTTGCGGCGTCTTCTTTTCCGGTGGTGTCGAGGTTCGGTCACCCTATCAAAACCGAACAGCCGGAAAAAAGGGTACCCGTATTGTCAGGAGGCGTCTGTGCCTGAGGCCCTCCCCCAAACGAAGGTCGTAGATGTATTGGGTTGATGGCGTGCATGCCTTTTCGTGCCTTGGCGGCGTGACTTTGTCGTTTGCTGCATTCGCGCGCGCATGTGTGTGTGTGTGTCTATCTATATACATACATATATATATATATATATTTATTTATTTATATTTGTATTTATTTGTTTGTTTATTTGCTTATCTATTTCTTTATTTATGTATCTATGTATTTATTTATTTGTATATGTACGTATACATACCTGTCTATCTGTCTATCTTTCTATCTGTCTGTCTATCTGCCTGTATGTCTATCTGTCTATCTGTCTATCTGTCTATCTATCTATCTATCTATCTATCTATCTATCTATGCCTACATGTTTCAACCATGTTTATGTCATTGTGCCAGTGTTTCTTTGTAGACGAGGAGGTTTAAGGCTTCAAGTTTTGTAGGCTTGAAGGCCAACCCCGTTGGGACTTGATTGGCGAGGAGGCGCACGCAGCTTGCGACCACGTACATGCGCTCCACATTAAATGGTATTTCATCATCTCGTATTATCGTGGATCATTTGAGATCATTGGTTTCATTACTGTTGTTGTGTTCATGGTCCACGGTCATTACTCCTAAAAATTGTTGCCGATTAATACTGTTAAGTGTTAGTATGCTGTGCTTTCTTTCAGCCTATATCATATTACATCTAATATGTCGTCTCATATCTTGTGCATTTTCTGATTGTATGTAGAGCTTTACTGTCGGTCCTGCTCTTTTTCTTTCTGCTTATATGTATGTGTATATATATATATTTATTTATATACTGCGGTGTGTTGTACTACATTACACTTGATATGCTACAATGTTTCTCTATGGTCGCTCATCCTGTGTCATTGTTCCGTATTCCATAGTAGTTAGTCGTGTTATATCATATCATATTACAACAGAAGAGTAAAACATAGTAAAGCACAGTGTAATATATTTGAATTTAGTACGGTATAGGTAAGTAATTGCAGTATAGTTTAGTATAGTGCAGTATAGTATAGAAGAGTACTATGTCGTAGCATACCGTATAGTATTATTTCGTCACTATATACTCAGTGTGGTACATTATGTTGTCGGATTCTTTGGTACTACGCATTTTGCAACACAGTATGCCACACTTTTTTTACTGTATGTCATATATATATATATGTATACACACACCCGCATACAGATACACATATACCTGGGAATACGTATACGTATACATATGCATATACGTATGCACACATGTACACACATACATACATGCATGCATACATACATACATACATACATACATACATACATATATACATACATGCCTAGCAAATATATGCACTTGTCTTTAGCAAATTTTGCTGGTTCTGCATGTCTTTAACATGATTGGTGTACTCCACGTGTTATAGACTATTAACGACAATCTGTGCACTCTGTATAATCTTGTTGTAGATAATACGCTAGACTGTTCAGTACAACACTACACTACACTACAGCACAGCACGCTACACTACACTCCTGGCACCCGACGCGACACGACACGACTCGATCCTACACTTACCGTAGAATATTACCTTGTGCCGTGTTCTATTCGAAGTTCTGTTCTACTCTGTTTTGCTTCATGGCTCATGGGTGATCCGTGGTTTAGGAGAGCTGACCCCATGCACGGGCCCACGGGCCTCTTGCTATGAAGTTTCCTAAGCCCTAAGCCTCCAGACTTTCCAGACGGGTTCTGGTTTCGTCGGTTGGGGGCTTCGTGGGGGGGCCTTCAGGAGCAGAAGTTTGGGTTTGTCGGTACGTCGTTTAGGAATAAGGGCTTTAGGACCTATCTGGTTCTGGGCCTCTGACACCCAGAGCCTGGCCCTAAACCCCAAACCGGATGCACTGCGAGCCCCGAGGCCTCCAAACCTAACCTGTCCTCTCCACTCTTAGTTACTTTTTGGTGGTTACCTTATAGGATCCTCAGTATACGCTGGTTAAGCCAAAGCAAGAAACTACCCTGGAGACTATTGGAAGACCCCGAGGCAACTGAGCGCGTATGTCTCCATCTCTTTGTTAGCTAATCTCCCTTGGAGCTCGCTTTTTGGTTCTAACCAGTTTATACTTAGGATCCTATAAGGTAATCCGAAAAAAGGAACTACAGTGGAGACCATCGGCAGAGTTTAGGGTTTATTCAGGGGGTTCCGGGTTTACAGCTTAGGGTCTGGGGCTGCTGTCGGGGTTGAACTTCAGACGGGCTGGTTTAGGGTTTAGGGCCTAAAACCCTAAACCCTAAAGTTTAGGAATTTAGGGTTTAGGACGGTTTCGGACTGCTTCCCCAATCTTTGTTTTTGTTGGGGGCCGAAAGCTTTCTAGAATTCGAATCCGAACCTTTTGCAAACCCGGAACCCAGGTTTCCTACCCTAATTCATCCTGGGCTCCTGGTGGATCCACGAATCCACGAGCAAGATAGCAGGACCCAGCAGTTTTGTTTGATTCGGCGGTTTAAGGGCTTAGGGCCATGAGTTTGAGTTTGAGGTGTTGCTTTAGAACGTGTTCCCCTTCGGATGAGCATGACGGAATGTTAGATACCAAGTTGAACAACATATAATTATAATCCTAAACCCTATAAGCTCTAACTCCGAAAACCCAAAGGCCCTATAAACTCTTAGCACTATACGCGAAAAGATCCGAGACCCGCCTCAGCAGAGAATTTGGGGGTTGGGCCATTCAGGGCTGTAAATGTTCAGGGTTGGAGGCTCATAATTATTATAATGATAAACTTTTCAATAGAATCAACAAGCATCATATTAACACCAAAAGCCACAACAACAAAACAACAGACAGAATAGCTAAGAAAAATGATCGTAAGAATATTGATAACAATCGCAGCAATAGCAAGGTAATTATGAGGTCAGCGCGTCGGGAACAGGCCTTTAACCCTGTACTCGAACATGCATTCCGACGGCTCATTTCGGAATTGTATACGGGCATATAGGGACGCGATGGTCTATATTACCGATGAAATCCAAGCACTCGGGATTTCAGAAATTCAGGTGTGTTTCGGGTTATCGACATCCTCTTCAGAAAGCAGACTTGGGTGCTTCCGTTATCGGTTTTACTCTGAGGCCCTGCCTCTGCAAATCTGAAGCTCCAACTTCTCAAGCCCGTTGTGTAGCCCCGAGAGCTGCTGGCAAAGGCTGCGCCCAGGCTCAGTTGGGGATTGCTTACAATGTCCCGTTTGGGAGTGAAAGGTTTAGTGATCGTTGGGGTTGGGGTTTAGGAATATAATGATTCGGGTTTCGATCTTGTTTTGGATTGCAACCAAAAGAACAGCACGCGCCTGCGCAACAGCAGTGCGGCTAGCTTCGCGGGTGGCACAGCAATAGCCTCGGAAAGTCACGCAGAACGCAATCTGGATCATGCTCACAGACAGGCAGGGTAGAGATTCTTTGTATTTCATTTTTTGCACCAGCTGTCCTCCGAACTATTGGGGCCACCTTGTATCTAGGTATGTGTGCCTCAGAATTTCTCAGTCTTTGGCAGCAAGCCAAAGTCGTACATCTCGTGTTGCTTTCACTATTGCTGATTGCATACAAAACTTTAATTTAATTGCAGTCTCCGCGCGCTGTGTCTTAATGACCTAGACCTTGTTATAAGCATGAGCACCTCAAGGCCTCCGCCGCAGTTTGCGCCCGACGTGGGCGCTGGAGACGGGCAGCTCGGTTTGCGAGGTTTGCAGGTCGGGATGTACGTTATATGGTGTTTGGTCTTAGGGTTTGCGTTCCAGGCCAAGTCAAGCGACGATTCTGTGATCACTTCTTTGAAACCCGTTTCCTTGCAGATTGCAGGCCTTGCACGTTGGTGGCGGATGCTTTCCTGACGGCATGCTGCTGGGTGCAGCAAGACAGGGGTTCCTTCTCCAGAGGCGACTGTTTCTGAGGTTTGAACACTGCGCGCAACAACATCTACATGAATCTACATCTTATCCTTGCGGCATGCATAAACCGCACGGAGCTCGTAGACTGCCGCAGACTCGCTGTAGCCGTAGACCTACAACTTCAAGGGTTCAGGGTTGTGGGCTGAGGATCCAGCATTCTAGCAGTGCTTTGGGTCCCTCTCGAAACCTGGAAGATGATAAGCATCCGACAGAAGCGCCCACTAAGCCTTACATAGAAAGCCCGGTAGAAGTCTAACAGTCTAACTTAACCCAAAACCCCAACCCCAAACGAAACCCAAAGCCCCCAATACCCAACAGGCACCTGTAAGCCCTGGAAGCCTTCAGCCCTATATAAGCCCCGAACCCAAATCTCTCTGTGAACCAGGTCAAAGGGGCCCTGGCACCTTTCGCTCTCTTGGATGCAGGCTCCCAGCGGCCCTTTAGAGATCAGGGGATTCAATTAGGGTTCGGGATTTAGGGGCGCTCTGGACTTCAGGGAAGTCCGCATGGCTACTGCGCTTCAGTGCTCTTGCAGTTTGGGGTTGAGGGCTTCAGGTTTTTTAGGGCTAAGCAGGATTACGGTGCAGATTTTTCAGCGATTTAGCCGTCGATATTGTGAAGCCTCAGCGTTTAGAGGGCTCTTGGCTTTCGTATCAATGTTAGTGAAAACATGCACGGCTCCAAGATTGGCGGTTCGAGCTTGGGATGTGGTTAGGACCTTTGCAATCTTCGGAAGCTGGTGGTTGCAGGAATTTGCAGCGCAATTGTTAATTTTCACAGCAAGAATGACAGAAGTACGAAGAATACCAATAATCACCACAATACTATTGAAAATGATCATATTTGCAAGAACAAATTACAATGCTAATAAAAATCATCATCATCATCATCATCATCAGGACAATAGTGGGGTCGTTGGGGTATGACTAGAGGAGGTCCCTTGCATGGAGGCCCTGGGCCGGTCGTCCCCTGCAAAAACGCCTGTTTTGATTTCTAGGGATGGACCCTACCTACAGTCTCCATTGTAATTTAGTTCCCCTTTTTTGGCTTAGCCATCTTTATCTGTAGGATCCCATAAGGTAACCCCAAAAGGGAGCTAGCATGGAGACTGCAGGTTTTTTTGTCTAGATGCTGAGTAGGATTTGTGTTGTAAGCTCCATGCCGAGAAGATATATGTAAACCTCAAAAAGCCATTCCCAGGCCCATGCCCGTGGCCCGGTTTCACGCCTGAAAGCCCTAAACCCTAAGCCCTAAACCCTAAGCCCTAAACCCTAAACCCCTAAACCCGAAACATGACAGGGGGTTTTCTAGCGACATGGCCAGAAAAAACAAAACCCTATAAAGCCAGACATCCGGCCCTGAAGCCGAAAAAATGGCTAAATGGGAGCGATCATATGCTTGTGCTAGTCGTAGGGAGCCTGTCCTGGCAGTGGGCTTTAGTTCCGGATTGTTGGGAAGGTTCCTTAAAGTCATGGAAGGACCCTACACCTTTTCCTTTCCGATTGCTAGCAGGTCGGCGTCCAGTTTCGCCTGGCTTCGCGGGAAGTCGTGACAAGTGGTACCGAGGTGCTGCAAACCACATGGTCTTACTTGGTTTGGCATTTTTCAAGCTTTATGGCATCTGCAAGTTCCAATAAGGCCCGGTTCGGGGAAGCTGTGGATTTCGCAGAGCGATCTCGATGCTCGTGCTTTTCGGGTCACTATGTATGTGCGAGTACCAGGACTGACAGTAACACCGAACAGCCCCAGTACAAAATAAGCGCATGATTCGCACTGTTTGCATTGCACCCCGAACTCTGCACCAGCCCCTGACTCCAAAATCCGAAGCCCTGAGCCCTAGATCTTTTCAGAGCCGTTTCAGAGAGGTCGACCTCCGGCGAAGTCCTTCAAAAGGGTAGGAATCTATACACACACACATGAACAGGAAAAAAAGGCATGAAGCCACCTTCGTCTCGTTATTCAAGTCTCAAGATCCTCAGCCCGAAGCCTCAAGGCAAGCCCTCATGATCCCTAAACCCTAAACCCTAAACCCTAAAACTCTAAAACCCTAAACCCTAAAACCCTAAACCCTAAAACCCTAAAGCCCTAAAACCCTAAACCCTAAACCTTCTAGAACCCTCTGCAAGGGCTCCCGGCTCGAGGGTTTCGGCTTTAGGATGTGCTGTCGGGTTTAGGGGAACCTTACTACCCATAGGCCCCTAAGTAGTTTTTTTTGGGGGGGGATTACCTTAAAGGATTCTGTATATTATGAACCACAAAAAGGAGCTGCTTAGGGGCCTATGGGTAGAGCTCCGTGATCGGTGCAGGCATCGATCCGCTCTCGGCGATGGCAGCAGGCTGATGATTCGGGGTTTAGTTTAGGGATTACCTGTAACCGAAAAGACCTACCTTTTTAAGGAACTACACATCGAAACCATAATAAGGAACCCTAAAAAGAGGTAGGTCTTTTTGGCCACAGGTAGGGTTATAGGTCTTTGAGATTTGGGTGCGCGAACTTCGTGAGGCTCCGGTTTTCGGGCTTAACGGGTTTTGAGAAGGTTGGGTTTAGGGTTTAGGTTGGGGTGGGGTCGAGCCCGAAATAAAGCAGCAGGCGACTTCTACATTTCGTACTTTTAGTTGCTGCAATTTTGATTTCTGAAGCCCAATAAGGCTCATGCGCGAAGGCAAAGTCAGGAAGCTTCATGGTCGGGCGAGGCATGCTTCGAGTTTTCGTTTGTTTCGTGGATCAACTATAGGACTACGTGATTGCTTAGGGGGTTTAGGGTTTGCAGCTGTGCTGTAGAAGAGGTTTTTAATCTTGTCGAGTCTGATGGCTCCAAGGGTTTAGGGTTCATGTTGGCTCGGAGTTGAAGATTCAGGGGAGAAGGTTCGTGATGGGTTGTGACAGGATTGAATGGAGAGCTGGAGTGGAAATTGGTACGGGTGTTGCTGCTACCGCTGCTGCGATAAACCCTATAAGCCCCAAACCCTAAGTAGCTTTCACAGTCTACATGTACGACCCAAGCCATCTTGCTTCATGGTTATGTCGGGGTGTTTTGACCAGGCGAGTCCCTAGGATGCTCTAGCTTGGAATGATTGCCTTATAAAAGCCCTAAACCCTGAACCCCAAATCCCAAACCCCAAAACTCCAAGCTTCTAAACCCGAATCTTCAACAACCTACTTGTCTCTAGGGCTCCTTGTTATTAAACGGTCGGTTCTTTGAGGTTTCGGTACACGCGAACCTTAAGCCCTAAACCCTAAAC